GTCTTCTTGTTTAAGTGGCTTGGTGAATATGTCGGCAACTTGGTCTTGAGACTTCACGTATTCCACTTGCACATCCTTTCTTGCAATGCACTCTCTTAAGAAATGATAACGGGTATCTATATGCTTGCTCCTGTCATGGAATACTGGATTCTTTGCTAGAGCTATTGCAGACTTGTTGTCGACATAGATCTTTGTTGGCTCTTCTTGTCGCATTCTTAATTCTTTCAGCAAGTTTCTCAGCCAGATTGCATGGCAGACACATGAAGTAGCAGCTACATATTCAGCTTCGCAGGTAGAGAGAGTGACAATCGGTTGCTTCTTCGACATCCATGTGAATGCAGTGTCTCCCATGAAGAACACAAATCCAGTAGTGTTTTTTCTATCATCGGAATCTCCTGCCCAATCACTGTCGCTATATCCAGCAAGTTTGTAGTTATCAGAACTTGAATAAAACAAGCCAAAGTTAACAGTACCTTTGAGGTATCGAAGAATTCTTTTGGCCGTTTTCAAATGTGTAGTTGTGGGATTCTCCATGTGGCGACTGATTAATCCGACAGCATAGAGAATATCTGGTCTTGTGCAAGTCAAGTAGCGTAAGCTTCCAACTAAACTTTTGAAAAATGTTAGATCTACGCTTTCTCCTTTGTCATACTTGGTTAGTTTGACTCCGCACTCCATTGGCGTGCTCACGGGCTTGCAGTCGTCCATTTTGAACTTTTTCAGTATCTCCTTTGTGTAGCTTTCTTGGGAGATGAAAATTCCTTCTTCGTTTTGCTTGACTTCAATGCCTAGGTAATATGCCATCAACCCGATGTCGGTCATCTCAAATTCTTTGGTCATCACTCTCTTGAACTCTTCAAACATGCTTGGATTACTCCCGGTGAAGATTAGATCATCCACATATAAGCACACAATCAAAATATCTCCATCTTTGACTTTGACGTAGAGAGCATGTTCATGAGGGCACTTGATGAAGTTGTTTTCCTGAAAGTACTTGTTGATGCGACTATTCCATGCTCGTGGCGCTTGTTTTAACCCATAGAGGGCTTTCTTCAGCTTCAGAACTTTGTCTTCATGCCCTTTGATCTCATAGCCTGACGGTTGCTGAATGTAGACTTCTTCTTCAAGGACTCCATTTAGGAAGGCGGACTTCACATCCATTTGTTGAATCTTCCAACTGTTTTGAGCTGCCAAAGAAATTAGTAATCGTATAGTTTCCAACCGAGCAACGGGTGCGAATATCTCATCATAGTCAATTCCGGCTCTTTGACTATAGCCTTTCGCCACTAGTCTTGCCTTGTATCTTTCGACCTTTCCATTGGCATTTTTCTTTGTCTTGTACACCCACTTGACTCCGATGGCTTTGTGTCCTTTCGGAAGAATAGCAAGTTCCCATGTATCATTCTTCTGGATTGCTTCAATTTCTTCATCCATTGCTTTCCTCCACTTAGTATCTTGCACTGCTTCTTGGAAGTCGACTGGTTCACAATCAGCAAAGAGACAGAAAAGTGTAGGATTATCAAGTCTTTCAGCTACCTCATAAAGATCTCGTATACTTCTTGTGCGTGGTACTTCTCTTTCATTTAGACTCCCACTTGACAATGCTAATGCTGATGCTGATGAATTACCATGATTGGTTGATGTTGGTGAAGCAGGTGGAGTAGTGGATTCTTGTTGAACCTCTCTTGCTTGCTCCATCATCCCTTGTTCATTCTCTTCTTCAAATTGAGGAAAGAAGTGAAGATCACCTGCATACGGGCCAAAATCTGATTCTCCTTCTTTATCGAACATCACATCTCGACTGATCACCGTCTTCCCATTGTTTGGATTATATAGCTTATAGCCTTTTGAATTGGTGTCATAGCCGATGAAGATGAACTTCTCACTTTTGTCGTCGAGTTTGGTTCTCTTCTCGTCTGGTACGTGTACATGGGCTATGCTTCCAAAAACTCTTAGATGAGAAATACCTGGTTTTCTTCCACTCCATGCTTCTTGCGGAGTTTTTCCCCACACACTCCTTGTTGGAGACCGATTGGATAGGTAGACAGCACATGCTACAGCTTCTGCCCACAATTCCTTAGGCAATTTCTTGCTTTTGAGCATGCTTCGAGCCATGTCGAGGATGGTTCGATTTTTTCTTTCCGCCACTCCATTTTGTTGAGGGGATCTTGGAACTGTCAAAGGTCGACGAATTCCATTTGCTTCACAAAACTCTTGAAATTCCTTCGAAGTGAATTCCCCTCCTCGATCAGATCTCATGGCTTTGATCTTGCAACCACTCTCATTTTCTACAGCGGCTTTGAACTTCTTGAATGCTCCAAAGACTTCTGATTTCTGCTTCAAGAAATACACCCAGGTTTTTCTTGAAAAATCATCAATGAAGAGAAGGAAATAATTATTTTTACCCAAAGAGCTTGGTTTTATTGGACCGCACACGTCGGTGTGAATGAGCTCGAGTGGCTTCTGGGCTCTTGTGGTCGACTCCTTTGGAAAGCTTTTCCTGAACTGTTTCCCAAGTAAACATCCTTCACAAACTTGATCAGGGTGGCTGATGCACGGTAAGCCTCTCACCATCTCCTTCTTGGATAATAACTCCAGTCCCCCAAAGTTAAGATGCCCAAAACGAAGATGCCAAAGCCAAGATATGTCTTTGTAACATATCTTAAGACACTTTGCAACATCGTTTTGAATGTTCATGGGAAACATCCTATTCTTTGACATTTTCGCCTTGGCAATTAATCTTCCTTTGTCATCTCTAAGAAAAAGGATATAATTTTTTGTATGAAAATCATAACCTTTTTCTAAGAGTTGACCCAAACTCAAAATGTTGCTTTTCATATTGGGCACGTAGTAGACATTTGAAATTAATTGGTGACCGCCATTTTCCAATGGAATAAGGATGTTACCTTTTCCTTTTACAGGTATTTTGGATTCATCTCCAAAAGAAACGTTGCCACTCACTGATTCATTGAGCTCTACGAAGATGCTTCTTCTTCCGCACATGTGGTTGCTAGCGCCGGTGTCAAGGTACCATGTATAGTCTTGGTCTCCATCATTGTTCTTGCATGCTAGTAGCACAATACCATTCTCTTCTTTCTCTTCTTTCACATAAATGACCTTCTCATCAAGTCTGCTGTTTGGAGCTCTACATTCCCAAGCATAATGCCCAAACTTTTGACAATTATAGCATTGAACTTGAGATTTTTCATACCTTGAGTTTGAGCGTCCTCTTCCGCGACCTTTTGTTGAGCTTTCTCCTCTTTCATAGTTACTATGGTTGTTTAAGTTCCAACCACATCCACGCCCATGTCCACGTCCGCGACCTCGACCACGACTTCTTCCGTATCGGCTTCTCTCGTTGTCGAAGCTTTCTTCTTTCTTCTTTGGCTGGATATGCGTCTTGAGGAGCTGCTCATCATTCCCTTGCCTCTTCTTATGTTTCTCTTCATATGCTTGTAGCGAACCCATTAATTGCTCTATACTAATTTCTTCCAAGTTTTTAGTTTCTTCAATCGTCACGACAATGTGCTCGAACTTGGGGTCCAACGAGCGTAGTATCTTCTCCATAATTCTAACATCTTCTAACTTTTCTCCGTTTCTTTTTAATTGATTGGAAACGGCTAAGACTCTTGAGAAATAATCAGAGATTGATTCAGACCCTTTCATTTGTAGAGATTCGAACTCACCTCTTAATACTTGAAGACGAACCTTTTTCACTTGTTCGGCTCCTTTGTAAGAGGTTTGAAGCTTCTCCCATGCTTGCTTGGCAGAGGTTGCACTTGAGACCTTCTCAAAGCCATTGTCATCTAATGCTTGGTAGATGAGATAGAGAGCCTTCTTGTCTCTCTTTCTTGAATCTTTCAAACTCTCCTTCTGGGGTTGAGACAGAGTAGCTTCATCTTCTGGCTCAGTGTAGCCTTTCTCCACGACTTCCCAGACATCGTGTGCACCCAAAAGGGCCTTCATTTTGATACTCCAATTATCGAAGTTGTTGTTGTCGAGCACTGGAACTTAGAAGGCTGCCATAGCATTGCTAGCCATAGCTCTGGTACCACTTTGTTGAGGTTTAAAAATGCTTCACTACTTGGAGAGCTTTATCTCACAAAGGAGAATGTAACGCAGTGGAATTGATAGGCAAGAGAAAAAAAGAATTCTCAAAGTATTACACAAGGTTTTTATTCACTCACAAACTTAGTACAAGAGGAAACACTCAAACACTCTTAAAAGCTTTGTTGCTTCTTCTTACTTCTTACTTGACACTCTCACTTCTTGCTACTTGCTCTCTTGGTTGTTGCAAATGGTGTGGATGCCTTCTCCTTTTATAGGCATGGATGGAACCTTGGAGAAGCATGAAAACATCATGCTAGAGATATCTAGATAATTCCACTACCTTCCTAAGCTAGAATTATCTACACTAATCTTGTATGTTGGTGGAATCCTCACCATTCTTCTAGACTCTTCCACCAACTTGAACTTTGCTAGAATTCTCTAGCATGTGCATGGATATTTCTTTGTGTATGGGCCGGATCAATTATCTTTGGGCTAAGACAAGATTACAATTCAACAAGGGAATAAATTGGTTGCGACTTGCAAATCCCGAGATTCAAATCTAAAACCTCTCACTTACAACTGAAAAGAAATACCACTAGAATGAAATAATAAGAGCTAGTTTGATATTGTTGTGCTTTAAAAAAAAAATTTGTTTCTATTGTGCTTTGAGAATAAACAATTGTAAAATAAAGTTGTTGAGTGTTTGATAAACTTTTTTTTTTAAAGTGCTTATAACAAAATAAAAAATAAAAAAAACAGTATTCGAGCGTTTGATAAACTTTTATATAAAATTAATGTGGATATGTTAAATGACTAAAATGATATGGTATTGAATGTGATATAATAATTGTCATAGAGAATAATACAGGGGCAAAAATTTAAATTTTATAAAGTATGTGGAGGTATACTTCGAAAATTTCGTTAAATGGGCACTATTCACTATTCTTTGAAAAAAAAAAAAAAACCTTTTTTAGAAGCATGTTAGACCCTGCTTCTACTTTTCTACTATCATTGACTACATTTTTTAGAAAATTTTTTATTTTTTTTATTTTTTCCAAACATATTTGTTGTGTTGCTCCAAATTTTTAATCAGCTGTTTTTTTTAGAAGCACCATAATCTTAAACCAACTCCACGTGGCTAGACAAACACGATGTTAATCCACACCTTCTTATTTTGCATTTTATCATTTATTTGTGCCATTTGTTTTATGATAGCCTTTTAGTGTCAGACTAGCAAAAGTGTCTGCGCGTTGTTGCGGGTGTTTAAAATATTTTGATAATATGTACATACATAAAACAGAATTTATTGAAGTTAGATTTATATACCTAAGATAGAGATTGGCAGTGTGCAATTCCTCACTGTTATAAAGCTATATTCATGTACAAAAATTCATAAGATCAAAATCGTTCAAATACGAAAAATATTCATGTCCATATCAGAAGCTTGGCACCACACATCTGCTCAGTGTTTATGATTTTTCCTGGTCAATCTTTTGGTCATGCTTGTTTGGGAATGACCATCTTTTTCTTGGTCATCATGTTATTTTTTGCTTTGTCCAAAATTTTTCTCTTGCTATATATTAAGAATTGGAATCAGTAAGAATTGAATATAAAAAAAATAAATTTTTCAACCTATTTAACCAATGAATTGATGGAAGAGCTAAGAGAAACGAAAAAAAGGCCATTATTCAATTATATGGAGAATTACTTGATACGTACAAAAGGTTTGAAAATTAAACTAACATTTAAAAAAAAAAAAAAAAAAAAAAAAAAAAAACAAAGATGAGATGGAGTGGAAATCACATACCAACATCAAGCTTAAAATTGTAGTGCTCATTTGTAGTGCTATCTGCAATTAGTCCTATCAGGAGCTTCTGCACTGGTTGATGTCTCGGTCTTTTCCTTAGCTGTATGTACATTGTAGACTTGGGTAGATGAGAAGCAGAAGAAAATAAAAATATAAGTTAAAGTTACAACTTAACTATCTATGTTGATTCATGTCCCACACATAATAAGAATAGCGAATCATTTTTCATCTTGTGCACTGGTTTGTCATTGTCACTCGAATTCACAAATTCATTTACTCCGAATTTCTTAGTTATGGCCAGGGAAAGAATGTTTAAGCAAAAATATGTTCTATGTTTTCCCACTAAACTACCTGTTAAACCAAAGCCAAACGTCAAAAATAAAAAATAAAAAATAAAGATAAAAGATAAAAGATAAATACCTTCGTCAAACCTCTTGGGCTTCAAGTCCATCGACTCCACCCCAATACTCTGGCGCCTCAGAAATTTTTCCACCTTTAGTAGCCTAGATCATCCATGTATCAATATAAATACGGAAAAAAAAGTAAATGCAATTTAATAGAACAAAGAATTTGGGATCAACAAAGTTTGTCCAAACTTACAGCGAGGCCAATAAACAACACTGAGGATAATTTTTCATTTTGCTAACATTGAGAGGGGAACCCAAACCTGATATTAAAAAACAAAATATTCAGTAATAACGCAAACGATTCAATATGTAGTATCAGTTGAGGATGCATAATTCAAGGCTCTAAAGCATTGAGTACGACACCAAACCTGTTGGTATGGCACAACTAAGGATGCAAACTTTGTCCAACTGAGCAAGGGGCTTGATTTTGGAAAGACGGCCAGAATGAACATCAATGTATTCACTCGAAGTAAATGTGCCTGGAAAACTCTACTCATAGTTTACAAATTTGCAATTCTCAAAGCTTAATCATATAAAATCATATATATATATATTATGTATATTATATGTATGTAGTAGATATTATTGCTGACCTTCGGCAGAAGTAGAGTTCAGTGTGATAAACTGAGGTATATTTGACCTTTATCCTCATTTCCATGGCCTTAGATGGAGCAACCTTCACCCTCTCCATCACCAACAGCTTCCCTGCTTCCCATGCAACCGCTGCTTGCAAAATCTACAACACAGAAATCCCAAATTGAGGAGTATTAACTATAAAGACATGCAAAATGAAGAACAATGGACCTAGCGGGCAGAGAAGCTGATTGATGTTCATAAAAAAGATATTTTAGTTTTAATTACCTTATATCATGAATAAAATAAGGATAGATTGTGTTTACCCATTTTTTTGTGCAGGAAAGAAGGCTAGTTTTGCATGATTTGGGAATGACCTTTTTTCTGGCAATTTTATACGATGTGATCAAATTTTTGCACGCTTGTCTTTTTGGAATGTACATTAGATAAAATTTTGATTGAACATATGAAAAAGATAATGTTTTAGTATGGTGTAAATACAAAATTACAGGTGTGTATTAGTTGGGATAGCCAAAGCTTTACAAATGAGGTTATAATTGAGGGTTAAACTGCTCAGTCATCATATGCAATCACACAATGTAGACTGATTGGTATGTTTAGGCAGCAACGACAACACTTTTCGTTTAGGATAGTTAGCAATATGTGTAGTACATGTATGGCTCTAATTGTTTCTTAATATTAACTATTATAAGACTAAAATCTCTTCTCAAGCTTGTAAAGAAGCTTGAGTTTAAATTGATTTTTCTAATTCGAACAAAACTCTACTCAGATACTTCAAATAATGGAAATCATACAAAAAGCAAGCATCCTGGTAGCTAGTTAGTACATGAAATCATGTTATTGTTAATAAGTTAAACATATGAGAGATAATTTTATCAAAATAAATAAAAGATAGTGGAAGAGTGGTGTACCTTCAAATGAATGATGATTGGAGGCCATGCTATACAGAAAAGCTGGTTATGCTGTAAAACAACAATAAGCAGGAATAAATTTGTATGCATCAAATTGTTTTCAGAACTGGAAAAGTCAGAAATATTGCTAACTACTTGCTGGGAGAATTTTTTAGGTGTTTTTGTTTAAAACTGGCTCTACAAACATGCATCAAATAATGTATGTAATTCTACAAACAAAGAGCACGTATGTAATTTATCAATCTGCCCAGTTTTCATAGATTTCATAATTTATCAACCTACAAACATGCTCTTCATAAACCGATTGACTTTTCTGGTTCATTCGAAATACCCCCATTAATTGAAAAACAATTATCACTTACAAAATAAGCATGTAATCCGATCAAACCCAATATCCAAGCAAATAAAAACACACAAAATTAAACACTTAAAAGAAAAACACAAACTCCACTGATCCAAATAAGAAACGGAGAGACAAATGTGAAAAAATGGAGGCAGGGACGGCATACCCAAACCAACAGTAGCGTTCCAGCTCATGCGAATTCTCAGACTTGTCAGTAGAGGAAGCCAAACACAAAATATGCCTTAGCCGACAAATTCTCAACAAACCGCTACAACTCACTTCAGAATGAGACTGTTAGGGTTTCATTCAAACGAACACAAATTTGAAAAAAAAAAAAAAATTATTATGCAGCAGTTTTGGAAGATACCAGAGTTCAATACAATTTGCCCGACGATAATTTAAAGGCACGCCGTGCTCAGTCCCAACTCCGGGATCGCCGACGAAAAGAGTCAACACTCTGAAATTCTAAGCACCAACGGCCACGAACGCTCGAAACCAATTTTATAAGCTTCGACAAAACGTTGTTGTCAGTTTCGACAAAACCTTGACTACCTTAAAATTTTGATCCCGCCGATGGCAAGATGAGAACAAAACGCTGACCAACAAAGGGTTCGTCACCGGAGAAGACCGGAAACAAAACACAGGTTGCACACCGGAGAAGACCCGAAACCAAATCCAAAATAAAATTAAAGTCAGGATCTCTTCTAAGACTATTCTGCGAAGAAAGAGCAAAGATTTGGCAGCAAAAGGGGGAACGATGAAGAGGGAGAAAATCGCACAGCAGGGAAGGTGAAAAACAAAGTGGAAAGGTCAAGTAGAAAAGATGCGGTCCAAGCAGAGAAAGAAGCGAAGAAAGACGCGTGACCGGGAAGGGCAAAAGAGACTTTTTACTGTATAATAATGAAACAGTAGCTATCCAAAGAAGAAACTCGAGGGCATTTCCGCCTTTCACTGTTTACGAACAGTGAAAACAGTGCCAACGAAACTGGGTTTTAAGTATATGTATAATTTTCATTTAATTTTAATCTTGAACAAAAGCTGTAATTTTATTCTTTTTTGCAAATTTTTTGTGGCTTTTCGGTTAAGAACTTTGCCTTTGCCCTAAAGACCACGATTTTCTCTATTCTATATATATTTTCCTCTTTTTTAATTTTTTAATTTTTAATTTTTTTTTTATGAATTGTATATATTTTCATTAAGAATGTGTGGATAACACATCTCAACTTTATATTTTATTTCGGTATTTTTATTTATCAAGATACTTTTGTTAGACAAAGTTAGAAATACCAATCAAATCTGCTTTATTACATTGTGATCAAGTAAGAGAGAGAGTTTCCTCACAAACAAAAACCCTCATCAGATGAACCAAAGCTAGCACACCACCAATAAGGGTTAGCATTTGGAACATACAGAATTTCTGCATTCCCTCTCTCTGCCCCTCTCTTCATATGTCGCTTTTAACATCCTTAGGTTCCATAACCTTTAAATTATTAAAGTCGTAACATAACTGCCCTGCATCTTGAACGGTCGAACGTACTTTAAGCACTGTACTCGTCTCTTTTAGTCGGCAAACAATCCATGTCTGAATCCCTTGGGCTGATTCTCACGCTCGTTACATATCACTGAGATAGTGCTCGATCTACTAAATCTCTTGGGCTAATTCACGGGTCTAGTACCTTGATCTTTCAGCACTTGTGTCTTTTCTCTTTGTAAAACAATTTACAAAACTCTCAAGCTCTCTCTCTCTCTAATTCTCTATGCACTCTTTTCTACATTGCTTCAATCCTCACATGGTATCCTCGTCAAGAAACAATCTGGCGCTTCTGCAATCTCCTTGAAAATTTCTCTTTCTCTTCTCAATTCTCTAGTTTGCACAACTTCTGAGATAAAATTGGGCAAGTACAATCATTTGATTCCCAAGAAAATTGGAGTTCTTGATCATGAAGATCCACTGTTTGATAAAATGCAGCAGTGAAGAGATTTTTCTCTTCCCACGGTATCAAATCGGCCGGCCTAACCTTCAACAATAGCTGCACCAGTGTAATCTGTGATCAATGTTTTCTACGTAGTACTACACACTAACTACCTCAATTTTAAGGTAGTGCACGAATACTTTTGCTTTTTGTTGCAACTTAATTTATTAAGGAGATTATTTAATTCACAATGTTGTCTTGAAGAATCACACACACATATATAGTTACTCTATTATTACATGCATAAAGCCTGTTTATCCCAAGAGCGTCCATAAGAAAACACATTTGTTCAGTGTTTTTATTCTTGGTGTTTGAAGCTAGATGGTCTATTTCTTTTCCCTCTTTTCCATTGTTCCATCCATGGCAGCTTCACCACCGGATGTGCCATAACATTTAGTTTGAGATGGCGACATGCATCAGCTTCTTAATGAGATAAGAGATAGAGTAATTGATGAGCCGTCAGACCAAGAATTAATCTTGTACTTCTTGAATAGGTGGATAAATGGTCAACCTCAGCCTTCTTAGTTAGTTGCCCAGATAGATGTCGATGAATTTCGTAGCCTAACCCCCGAACAACTTTGCAGTAATGATTTGTGCTTAATTCTTGCTGTCCAAGATTTTCTCTATTCTATATATATTTTCCTCTTTTTTTCTTTATTTTTTATTTTTTTATTTTTTTATGAATTGTATATATTTTTATTCTATATAAATCTCCATTTTTTTTGGTTAAATGTGATAGATGATCTACAACAACTATATTTGTATACGGCAATAGAGAGGGGGCCCGGCGGTCATGATCTTCCGGATCGATGAGTCTACATTGGACAGGATCCCTTGGATAGAAACATAATTCTTGGATGGTGGATGTCTAAGATATCTAGAGAAAATGTACTAGGAATAAGCATGGATGATCCTGAACTTCAAATTTCAATTGGATACAAGAAGCCTTATGTATATCATATAGGCAATAAGTGAAAGGCTGTCGTAGGAACACATTGAATATAAATAACATTGTGCCAACAATTCAGTGTGTTCCTACAACATCCCTTCGCTTATTGCCTATATGGTATACATAAGACTTCTTGTATCCAATTGAAATTTCAAGTTCAGGATCATCCATGCTTATTCCTAATATGTTTTCTTTAGATATCTTAGAGATCCACCATCCAAGAATTATGTTTCTATCCAAGGGATCCTGTCCAATGTAGACTTGTCGATCCGGAAGCTCATGACCGCCGGGCCCCCTCTCTATTGCCGTATACAAATATAGTTGTTGTAGATCATCTATCACATTTAACCAAAAAATGGAGATTTATACAGAATAAAAATATATACAATTCATAAAAATAAAAAATAAAAATAAAGGAAAATATATATAGAATAGAGAAAATCTTGGAAAACAAGAATTAAGCACAAATCATTACTGCAAAGTTGTTCGGGGTTGGACTACGAAATTCATCGACATCTATCTGGGCAACTAACTGAGAAGGCTAAGGTTGACCGTTTATCCACCTATTCAAGAAGTACAATATTAATTCTTGGTCTGATGGTTCATCAATTACTGTATCCCTTATCTCATTAAGAAGCTGATGCATGTCGCCATCTCGATCTAAATGTTCTGGCACATCCGGTGGCAGAGCTATCATGATGGAACAATGGAAAAGAGGGAAAAGAAATAGACTATCTAGCTTCAAACACCAAGAATAAAAACACCGAACAAAGGTGTTTTCTTAGGGACGCTTTTGGGATAAACAAGCTTTATGCATGTAATACTAGAGTAACTATATATATGTGTGTGATTCTTCAAGACAACATTGCGAATTAAATAAACTCCTTAAATAAATTAAGTTGCAACAAAAAAGCAAAAGTATTCGTGCACTACCTTAAAAATGCTGTAATTAGTGTGTAGAAAACATTGATCACAGGTTACATCGGTTCAGTTGTTGTTGAAGGTCAGACCGGCCGACGTGACTCACATGCGTTGGCGGACCCTACTTCTATTAGAGAAATTTACTAATAGGTGATAAGTGTTGTTTTGCCATGAAATTATCCTTTTCTCCTATGCATTCTCTATTTTGTATTCTTTTTAACAATTTTTTTTTTATTATTTCAGGCAATAGAATTGTTGAATGCAAGGCAGTGTGAGATCATCAAGTTTGGGAATCAAGATTAGGGGCCTATCTCAAAATTTGGAATCAAGAAGGTTTCATGAATTTTTGAACTACTAATGTTGTGAGAATCGAGTGAGCTTAGTCAGCTATGTAAATCTCTACAAACACATGCAGGTAGAACCTGTTGAATTGAAGGAACTTCTCATGGGCCCCGATGCTATCTACATAAAGGTGAATACAAGTGACTTAAATTTTAAACCCTGAGTCTTGAAACGAAATGGAAAACCCTAAGGAAATTGAATAGTTGGTTTTCTCCTAGAGGGTGAGCCTTGGTGATTTGAAATGTTGCTTCTTTGTGACTGAATGGTTTCGGGTTCAAGTCATGGAAACAGTTTTTTTGCAAAGCAAGTGTATGACTGCGTACGATAGATGTTTCTCCTGACACTCGCAAAGCGATAAGCCTTGTTGGCTTGGGGTCGTCCTTTTTATTTAGTTAATTCTTTCTCCTAGCTGTTTGTTGACCATATATGATTGGGATGTAGGCGCTTATAGAACTGACAGACTGTTTTATCGTCGTTAATGTAAGTGTTAATCTTTCTTGGTAATTTTGGTTGCTACATTAGACATTACCCTTTGTCTATTTAATGATTCTTAATTTTCGTGTAAATGATTAGTGGAAGACCGAAACAGTTGTTGCTAGGGGCTCATTCGAAGGATTAAGGCTAGTATAGTTGTGGAAAGATTGTATCTATTACAAAATCCATGCTGGACACCTTATTGGCAAGATTAGAACTTGAAGTGCAAGGGCTTATTATGGTACTTTGCGCTTTGTTAAGGGAACAGAAAGTTTTGGGTTCTAGGAATGACTATTCGGTGATGTTAAAAATTATATTACATTATATTTTTTTTGGAGCTTTTGATTTGTACCAGTTTAACAAAATAAAATGTGACAAAAAACCACATATACATATGCACTTATGTTTAGATATTGTTGGTCTTTACTGCTTTCGATTTTTTGGTGGTATGGAGTAAAAAGCCAGCATTAGAGTTGAATTCAAGATGCCATACACAATTTTTTGGTGATAAAATTTAACATGTTATCTCACATGACTTTCTTTTCATCTGAGTTATTTCACTTCCTATTTCATAGTTCAATTTCTGTTATTCAATTATTCTTGAAAACACGTAATGTATGCCTAAGAAGACCACACATCCAAGTGTTTTATACAAAGAACGATTTGTAATTTCGCATGACATGGTATGATAAAATAAAAATTTAAATGCTTGTTCAAATTGATAAGGTAGGGCAAGCAAATACAACTCTGATCGCATTTTTGTATAAATGACAAACAAGACTTTCAAAATTATATATAATTAAGTATTTACAATTGATTTAAACACTTCAATTTCGGTGAGATACTAGTGCAAACTAAAGATTTTCTAAATATAATTTAAGTACAATGAAACAAAGCTCAGATTTGTTCATCCTAGACGTATTGAAATGAGACTAGCCTATTGATTGAAGAACGAGCAGATCGACTTACAGAAACGTTTAAAGCAAGTCACTTCTAGTAGTATATTTTTGATACCGTACAATCTATCGCATGTCAACCCTTTGTCATTTAGCTTTATTAGTTTGAGATGCTTAAATTTAAGGAAAGATATATAGCGTCTAATAAAATATTTTCAATGTTCTATATTTCACTAGTTTTTACTATTATAAATGAGATTTAAGATAT